CTAAGAGATGAATAATAGATCCTATTTAAAAGTATATTAGGTACTATACAAGAAAAATTTTAAAAATGAACATGTTAATAGTGAAGGGCTTAAGTGAGATAAAAATTACTCTGTAATAGGCCAGTCTGTGCCTTGGTATTTAAAGGAGCTGAATCCCATATGGCCAACTGCATAGCTGAATCCTGGACACAAAAACTTGAAAAATATGTGAGGTATGCATAGGTGCATGCCCTAAATCCTGACATGATGGAAAATTGGAGGAGAAGGGGTTGCGGCATGACCATACCTCATAGAAGGGGTGCTCTTTCTCTTTCTGTTTCCCTCTGGTGAGTGCACAAACCCTTCAGAACATTTAAAAAATATATTCTGAGCTAATTCTACCCCATACCAATTAGCAGAATTAACAAAATAAACTTACCAACATTAAATTATACTTAAATGACGCATACTATGTAGGTATATTTTTAAAACTAGTATGTATTCTCTAAAATTAATAGACATAAAATAACATTTTTATCTCAATGTATTTAGAGTAAATAAGAATAAACTTCTGATTTGCCAATTTTTGCCAACATTTATAAAATAATAGTGAAAGTTACAAAACAATATTTTTGGTGCCTTAATTTTTATCTGTTGCATTCAATAATTTTGGCAAGAAATTCTTGACTTTTGCTTCTCTGATCTTCATGGTTAAGTTTCTCTTCAGTTAAATGAGGTATTTCACATCAATTCAATAATTTTCTTTTTATTTTAATTGGTTAGCATTCGTTTTATTTGCCTGTTAGCAAAGACCCATAATTTACACACATATATGCTCTTTCCTATGCATTTTAATTAAGAGCACATGTATAAACAAAACTCTAAATCCCTCACCACAAGCCCCCAAATCTTATTTTACACAAGAACCATAGAAAGCCCTATATCGGATGCAAGACCTAAAATGGCTGCAGATTTTGTAAGACCTCTTCTTTGGACCTTCAGTGATAACTATTCTGCTCTAAACTCACCAAAACTCTATTTTGCTTTATGATGCATGAGTTGAGACCTTAGAGGGCACATTTCTGCTTTGCCGTTGGGTTTCCTATCAGTCTTTGCCAACAGGGTACTAGAGAGAAACTGGTAGAACGAAAGATGAGGAAACGACTTGATCCTTTTTTTTTTTTTTTTTTTTGCCCTCTGAAGTCTGCCTGTGTGTATCCTATTTCTGTGGTGTTACTTAATTAGTACTTCTTCCTAGGAGAGGACATTTCTTTTTAGAGCAACTGCAGCACAACTAGGCTTCCCCCTCAAAATCTTACCTCAATAGACATAAGAATTAGCCACAGATGATACAATTAATTATGATGTCAATGAATAACATGGACTGAGGATATACAGTGTGTATCTTTCAAAGTTTGAGTCACTTTGCTCAACATTAATATGGAACCAACCTAAGTGTCCAAAAACTGATGACTGGGTTTGAAAACTGTTGCATATATATGTATAATGAAATATCACTTGATTATAAGAAAGAATGAGACCCTTTTTTTATTCAAAGTGTATTAATATAAAAGACATATTTCTAACTTTTAAAAGTAATTAGTTTATTTAATTTTATTCATCATTATTATTTTTTATTTCGATCAAGGAGATAGAGAAGGGGAAATTTAGAAAGTCAACCTCCAGGTCCAGGAATCGAACTGTGGCTGTGGGAGTCCAGTGCCTTAACTAACATGCCATCTGTCAACTCCATTTTTCTAATTTTTATTTATTCTCTCCTCTTCTGTTTGTTCTGATCCTAGGTATGATAACTGATTCCTTCAGTTGACATTACTATCATACTTCAGTGTTTTCTTATTAACTATTCAGTTATTTAGTTAAAAACTTTATGTTAGTTAACAATTTCTTATATAAATTTGCTATACTTAATAAGTACAGTGTTTTATGTCTTGGACTTTGAATGATTAAAAAAATTAATGTTGGAAGTGGTTCCAGAACACAGACGCTCAAAAACAAAATTTTGGGAGTGAGTTTATCATTGCGTTTTAGTAGTGCTGATCTCTTAAACAGTAAAAGATTCGATGCTAGGAGTCCATGATATTGATTGCCATCATAATTAATTGTATCATCTGTGGCTAATTCTTTTTTTTCTCTTTTTGAAAGGTTTTTGCTATAGGGCGTGTGCGCTCGCCAGACAGACAGAGAGAGACAGAGAGATAGAAAGTGAGAAATCACCCCCAGGGGGTTGGCCACGCCGCAATCCCTTTTCCTCCATTCTTCTCTCGGGATCTTGGGTAAGCACGCGCACGTGCCCGGTGTGAGTTTAAGCCACTGGATCCGGGACTCGAATCGTGGCCGACTACATGGGAGTCCAGCGACATAGCCATTATGCTAACTGCTGGTCCCCCAATTCTATCACCTGTGGCTAATTCTTATAAGTGTCTATTGAGGTAAGTTTTTTTGGGGGAAACCAAGTTGTGCTGCAGTTGACCGTTAGGAAAGTAATTACATTTACAAATACTATATGGGAAATAGATTCTTTTGAGTACAGTGAAGTGCTCATAGGATACTGATGATAAATACATGTCTAAATTCTCATTTCCATTGCCAACAAAATAACAAGACAATATCTATGGAAGCCATTAAAAATGTTGATTTCTTTTGACTGTACAGTCAATACTGCTAAAAATTAAATTCAAAATTAAACTGTGTAGGTTACACACCTGCAATATAAGTGTATCTGTTAGCTTCACCAAGCCTGTTATGTAAGAAGGTTAAAGAATCCATTGAGAAGTGGGAGCCTGAAGCTAGGCTTAGAGATATCTGATTTATTTAGACATAGGTAAACATCATGTAATCCTAGTCACACTAGGCCTCCTTACTGTTGGAAGGAGTTTGCCATCTTTTGTCTGAAGAGCCTACTATTTCTTTGCTTTAAACTACCTCACCTGATAAAATTTACTTGAAAGATGATGCCATTCTCTTTAAGACATCTGTGATCATCTTTTGTTTCCACAAGGCCAATAACTAAGGTTAAGTTCCCCATGCTTGGGACCAGCAGTTAGCGTAATGGCTATGTTGCTGAACTCCCATGTGGTCAACTGCGGTTCGAGTTCCAGACCCGGTGGCTTAAACTCACACCAGACATGTGTGCTTGTGTGCCCAAGATCCTGAGAGGAGAATGGAGGAGAAGGGATTGTGGCGTGGCCATCCCCCCTGGGGGTGATTTCTCACTTTCTATCTCTCTGTTTCTTTCTGTCTTTCTGGTGAGCCCATGTACTCTATAGCAAAAATCTCTCCAAAAAAAAAAAAAAAAATTTCCCCATGCTTAGTAGGTAAGTACAGAGTCTGACCCAAGAGGAAATTACTAATACATCAAAAAATGGCAAGATTTCTTTCATTTGTGTCAACAAAAACCTTGGGAATATGCATGGAGATGGGTAACAAATAAAGGAAGATAAAATATAACAATGTGTCTTCATTTATTGATAGCATACATTTATTGGAGATTTTGGATTTAACGTGTTAGCATATGCATGTGAAAAGTACCTTACAGTTAATTTGATTGACACAAATTGACAATTGGCCTAAATTAATAAGATGGAAATTTCTGAACTGCTCTGGAATAATATATAGAAAGGAATGGAGAAGCTTCTAGAAATTAAGATTTTGGAATATATTTGTCATACATGATTTATGGACCAACTCCTCCCACTTTGTATCTCTTGAGGTCCCAGAGGTCACTTTCTTTAGTCAGAGATATTTTGGCGGAAAGAATGACAGCCTTCTTTTTTTTTTTTTTTAGAGAGAGAATTTTGCTATAGGGTATATGTACTCTCCAGAAAGACAGAGATAGAGAAAGTGAGAAATTACTCCTCTAGGAGATTGTCAAGCTACAGTCCCTTCTCCATTCTCCTTCTGGAGTTTTGGGAATGCACCCATATGTGCCCAGTGTGTTTCAAGTCTCTAGGTCTGGAACTCAACCACATCCAGCCATGTCAGAGTCCAGTGCTTTAACCACTATGCCACCTGATGTCCCCTGCAACAGCCTTCTTGAAGAGCTTTGTGTCACTTTCTTATAATGAAGTCCAGTTATAATGAAGGATACACTATTGAGATCAGTTCTTTAACCTATGAGATCTCAGAGTTGCACAGCCCACATAGCTCAACTTAATGATTATCTCTGGCATAATTCAGTGAAAAGAGAAAATAGCACCAATGATTTAAAAAGGTGAGTAATAGTATAAATAATTATTAAGGGGCAGGTAGAATACTAAGGAATACATAAATGGCTGACACAGACAGCAAGCCAGACTGTCAAGCAGAATGAAACTTGCTAGCTAGCTGCCCACTTGGGATGCTTCTGAGAAATTCTGGAAAATTGCTGACAGTGGTGCCACTGAAACTGGCTTGGAAGTTGCCCCCTGGGGTGCCAGTTGAACCTGCTTGAGAGATACTCATTATGGGACCTATGAGACTCACTGAAAAGCTGGCTGGAATCCTAGAAGAATTCAGTGGGAAACTACTCCTGTGGGTGAAGATGTACTATTGGTCTTGCTAGGTATAGACAAACTGCTTCAGATGTCCTTTTCAGGTGTTATGGAGAAAAACATCATCTATGTCAGTAGCTCAATATCAGATATGTGCTGATTTGCCTTAATAAAGATACTACTACATATACCATAGCAGTTATAGTTGGAGTCACTGTCTGATGACATTTGCAATTATCCACAGTCATTATCTTCGGTACAGGCCAAATTGATAAGTTTAATGGGATTGTAATATTACTTTCTTGGGAGAGAGGATAATTCCTAGATGCTTCCACTAACACCTTTGCCACAAAGGTTGGGAAGACAATGGGGATGATTCTGTATTACAGTAACTTAAGTATGGTTTTCTGTCTTCAGATCCTGGAGATTTGTTCTATCACAGAACAAGCACTACTTTAGTAGACTGTCCAACTATTATATTCCTGAGAAATACCAAAATAAATAGCCACTATTCAAAGGCATTCTCATCACCTTATGTTCCCCACCTTCCTTTTTTGGTAATGTTCTCATCTTGTCTTTGGCAATTATGTGCTGTAATTTTGCCTCTGCTCTTCTGGATGAGAAAATTCCTATTGACACCATAGAACTCATCTCAGTGATGGTATTCCTTAGATAAAGCTTGTCTATATTCAAAAAGACAAATCAAAAACTATTTCAGGAATGGTAGAATCCCCTCAGTGATGCATTTTTCAATACCTTAGCAATATAGGTAGTATCTTGGCATGCTCTTGGAGGATGTAATTTGCAAGCACAGGGATGCACAGTGTGTTTGTGATGAATACTCTAATAGTCCTACATATATATTTTTTCTTTAAAAACAATTTTTCCAGTGAACATGTGTGTTTACTAAAGAGAGTTGGTAGGTACAGGGGAATAAGAAAGCAACCCCGTCCCCCGTGGGGAGTGATTAGGATGCAACCTCTTTTCCTTCATTTCTCCTTTCTTTTGGGATTTTGGCCACCACACATATAAGCCAAGTGTGTTTTTTTCAACTTCTAGGTCAGAGTTCAAATAGCCTTTTGGTCATGTGGGATCCATCTGCATAAACCATTATGGAAGGAGCTGGTGGTTATTGAAGCATTTGATTCTTATCTCTATATCATGCTAGTTTTAGTATAAGTTCATTAGACATTGGAGTCAACTGAGATAAACTTTAAGTCACCAAAACCAAGTGAATTGTTAAAACTCTGTCTGTATAAATCATTAAGTTGGTATTAGCTTCTAGTAAGTGCAACCAAATTAATATTGTATGTCCTTACTTGTTTTCATTGATGCTCTCAGAATCTACTTCACACATGTTCCCTTTTCTACTGATCTTAAATTCTTTTGATTTGTAATCTCTATAAATATAAAATTTTATACATTCTTAAGTGTGTTTATATAATATATAAAATTTTTTGTAATTCATTTGATGTATGTTATTTCCTTCTATATAGTGTATGACTGATTACCAAGAACAGGCTGATATTTCACTCTGGTTACTGGTCTACTGGCAACAGGTGGTACTTCTTGTTGTTGTTTTTTTTGTTTTTGTTTTTGTTTTTTTTTAAAGAGAGATGTTTTGCTATAGGATGCATGTGCTTACTGGAGAGACAGAAAGACAAAAAGTGAGAAATCAACCTCCCTGCCCTGGGAGGGAGGTCCATGCTATAATCTATTCTCCTCCATTCTTCTCTCAATATTTTGGGAACACATATACACATTCATGGTGTGAGTCTCAAGTCATGGAGTTCAGGACTCAAACTGCAGTTGACTATGTGGAAGTCTAGGACCTTAACTATACCACTTGCTGTCCCTTTCTAGTGGTTCTTGAGAAGGAAGGGCTTACTTCTCCAAAGTATCTGCCCTAGGTTATGATATTTCCAGGGTTTCAGTAAAAATAGGTTAATTTCTCAGACACAGAAGTGCAAACAATTCACACCAGCAGTCAAAGCTCAGGGTGACCTCGTTAAGTTTTTTAGTTTTATTTCAGTTCAAATAGATACTCCCAATTTAAAGTTTAGAATCACATTTTTGCCTATTTATTGACCTAATTTTCACACAGGAACATGGTGACATGCTGACTTCAACTCACTCAATTTAATTTTGCATTTCATTTTTTGTAGCATCAACCTTGGCTACAAAAATTATCAGACACTATTTTAAGTCTGTCATAGACACTTGCTGGTTCTTAGATCACAACTTGAGAGTTAAATTACCTAAGCTTGTCATTTTTATTTTATTCGTAAGTTCCCAGTGCACTCAGATAATTCCATTGATACCCAAGGTATTGTTGACACCTTACTGCGATGACAAGCAAATGTAGCAGTTACATTGGCCTCAGGGTAGTTGTTTCAGTAGGCAATTCATCAAAATCAACCACAGGTGATAGACTGATTAATTGTGGTACCAGTGCATGCCATGGATTATTATCATCCTACGTCCCATTTACAGAGAACTCAGCATTACTCTCAAGACCAATGACACTCTACTTTTTTTTTTTTTTTTCCTTGTTATAAGGCATGTGTGTTCTCCGGAGAAAGCCAGAGAGACAAGGAAAGTTAGAAAACACTGCCCAAGGGAAATGAGTACATGGCAATCCCCCTTCTCCATTCTCTTCTTGAGATTTGGGGTACCAGGCATATGCACCCAGCATATTTTTTAAGCCACTGGGTCTGGGTGGGACTCAAACTGAGCAGTAGGCCATGTGGAATTCAGATTCCCCAGCAGCCACATTCCCAGGAAGCCCAGGACAACACCATGAAACCAATTGCTTAATTGCATTTTTGCATATATGTTTCCTGGGACCACTCCTGATACTAGTTCTGTATTAGTCAAAGTATAGTCAGTAGAAAGAAATCACAAAATATTAATAATTTGAATAGGGAAATTCCAATATAAAGAATATAGTAACTGGTAATGCCTTGCAGGGCTTAACTACTCAGGTCCTAAGAGAACTCTGAGGATTGCAGAAATGGAGAGCAGCCACTACGTCTAAGATTGAAGCAGAGTAACAAAGAAAGGAACAAATACAGGAGAGGATTTCTCCAAGGCTGAGGTTCAGATTTCACTGGAAAAGTGTGTTTCTGGCCCATTAAGTGGTGCATAAGTTAAATGAGATAGTATAGACTGAGACTGGCAAGAAGAAAACCACTTGGTGAGGTGATGAGAAAATTTACAGGGAGGGCTGGCAGGTGGAGTGGTGGTGAAGGGTGCTGGACTCACATATGGTTGACTGTGGTTCGAGTCCTGGACCTGGCAGCTTGCTTTCTCACTTTCTCTCTCTCACACACACGTTCATTCCCTCTTTGGTCAAATTAGAATAAATAAATAAAGTTAAATAAAGTAATTCTTTTTGTTAAACAAAGAAAATTTATCGTGAGCCTGGCCGCTGGAGTTTTTTCTAGACTCACCGGGAAACTGGCACAGAAATCCAGTAAAAATTCACACAAAAACATTTCTAATTAGTGTACCTGCAAAACTTGTTGAGGAATCTTTAGGGAAATGAACATAATTTACTGAGAAACCACTTTGAGGGTTGCCATGGGAACTTTTAAGACTTGAGCATCACAGATGCTGTACATACCACTGACTTCTGTGTGTTACTGGAGGAAGCAGGAGAAAGCTCACTGCTATCAGGTAGAGAAGGCACCTTGTCCTGCATTTTCTATCTTGCACCCACTGCCAATTATGCTGATAAGCTTAGCACTGTGCTACTGACAAAGAAGAAATGTCTAGAGAGTCTGGCTCCACTATAACAACTCAGGGCAAAGATGAATAAATAAATTTCTGTGAGAGGTAATTAATTACTGACAATTTATCAAATAAAGAACCTCAACTAGCTAAGATCTTGCCTGAAAGGAAACATGGAATGGGCATTGAAGAGTACATTGTAAATGTCAACTATGGCCTGACTCGAAGTTAAGGAAATAAGGATGACTACAGTTATATTTAATTTCTCCCCCCCAGGAATATGTATATTCTTGTATAAATTTGTATAAGTGTTTGTATAAATTAGTTTTACTTCTCTTTTTCTACCTTTCCCCTTAATACATTTTGTTGAATGTTAACAATACAAGCATTTTTTAGTTAACATTACATTTAGATTGAAGTGTGACTGAATTTTTTTTTATAGTTTTTTTCTATAGGGAGTGTGCGCTCACCAGCCAGACAGAGAGAGACATAGAGACAGAAAGTGAGAAATCACCCCCCAGGGGGGATGGCCATGCCACAGTCCCTTCTCCTCCATTCTCCTCTCGGGATCTTGAGCACACATGCACATGTGCCCGGCATAAGTTTTAAACCACCGGGTCTGGGACGTGAACCGCTGTCGACTACATGGGACTCCAGCAACATAGCCATTATGCTAACTGCTGGTCCTGAAGTGTGACTGAATTTGGGGAGCAATAAAGATAACCTTAAAGTGAATAGTATGACTCTTCTTCAGAGTTGAGTCCGGTATGGGTTGAAATTTTGTAATCGTCATTTTAAGGAGAGGATGAGAACACTTTCATTTGCCCAGATTAGTTGCATTTTGCTCAGTGGAAATAAGAATTGTGTTCGATGCTTTTGAAAGTTTAAATACATGCAGAAGAGGGTGTAAAGATGCTGAGCAGCCAAAAGAGTAGACTGTCAGTTATTAAGCTATAATCTCTTAGCTCCAAACCCATCCTTCAAGTCTTTGTTTTGTGATGCATATTTATGCCTTGCCAGCTGGCTCTATAGGCTCTGTCAAAGCTGGGGGAAGACGAAAGGCATTTATTCCTTTCTGTGTGTTTCCTTTGGGCTTCCTGTTCCGTCTTCACCACAGCAGAGGTATCTTCTTCCCCAAGCAGCAGCTAAATTCAGTTTGCAAATCTTCCAAAATTTGTAGAAAAGCCTCATCATGCCCCTCTCAAAGACACCAGCACCAGCCAGCTGGCACTTCCTTTTTCCATGTCTGTTTCATCTCCATGGAGCACCTCCTCCAGGCTTCTCAGTTTTAATAATCCCATCTTCTTCCCTTTGTTTTCTTAGCTCATTGCAGACATAGCCAAAGTGACTCTGATCCATCAGGACCTGCTGTGATCACCTCTCCTTAAGTACATCCAGAAATCGTGCCTTGCATTTCACCAAGAGAATATAGCAATAGTGAAGGCAGATGCAATTATGGTCCCAAATCATTTGATTTGGAATTTATCAAAAGGAAAATTATCCTGGGTAAGCCTGACTAAATCAGGTCAATGTGCTTAGAAGATAGTCCTGAAGCCTTAGGTGAGCTCAGAGGCATGACCTTCTGCTGGCCTTGAGGAAGCAAACATCCATGTTAAAAACTGCCTATGAACGGGGCGGCTTCAGGCTTTCCATTGCAAGAGACTGAATTCTGCTAACAATCTGAATGGGCTTGGAAGAGTTTGAAGTGAGAAAGCCATCTGATGCCCACCTTGATGGAGCCTTGTGAAACTCTGAGTAGAGAATCCAGTTAAGCCATACTTGACTCATGACTCACATAAATTGTCAGGTAATAAATACATGTTGCTGTGGGTTACTAAGTATGTGATAATTTCTTACGCTACAATGGCAAGCAAATGCATACTCGTAATTTTGGTAGCTACATTCATGATCATTACATTCACCTACTATTATTTCTGTGATTTTAAAAAAG